ATACGACAATTACACTCCAGGTGGCAAGAAACTGGCACTGTGTTTATGACTGGAAGAGTTTGGGAGCTACCCTGAACCAGTTCATACCATTGATTTCTTTGCATCAGCCTGCTGCAGTGGGCAGATAAAACAGAGCTGCACCCTCTGCATAAACTGTGTTTAGATACATAAATCTCTGCAAAGTGGCTTTTTATTTTGAGGCAAAACCAGAAAGAATTATAGACTGCATTAAATATTTCCTTCTCTTTGTCCCCTTCTCGACCATCTGCAAGATCAATTAAAGCGCTTTTGCATAAAATAGGCAGAGAGGAGTGAGCTCCAAAAATAAATAAATAAATAACAAAGCCACTCTTTGCTTCCAATGCGATGCCTAAAGAAAACAAGCACAACGACTTAAAGATTCCCAAAGTGAAAGAGAAGGAAATGGGGAAGGTTTAATCACACACTTACAAGGCAGCAAAATAGATTTCTCAAGTCTTAATATCTCTTGTGAAATTTTAAGTGCTCAGTAACGTGCTGCAGCAGGCTGAGCCCTCACACGGGATATGTGTGTGACTCCCTCCCTTGCACTCACAAAGACACATTTGGTGTTTCCATCACTTTTCTACTTCCAAAGAGATAAAAATGAAACTATGAGCAATCGTGCTGGGGCTTAACATGTTCCTTTATGGAGGTCTTGCTGTCCTGCAGCTCAGCAGCCTCTGGCCAGCTACACTGCAACCTCTGGAAGCATCAGCACAACTTCCCTGCACACTGACCAGGAACGGGACTCATGGCCACAGCCACAGAGAGACAACCCCGAGTTCAACTGGTCTCCCAGTTACCAACTGGAATGATGACTGAGAAAAAGGGAGAGAGATCATCCCATTAGGAAAACTCAAGATCTACTTTCTTCTCCCTGAGACTGCTGTTTGTTATGTCTTCACAGGGCAAGGGAGGAACTGTTCCCATCAAAATTCCATATCTTAGTTTCAAAGGAAGACATTTTTTTACAATGAAGTTGGTGAATCCCTGGACCAGGTTGCCCAGAGAGTTGGTAGATGCCCCATCCCTGGAAATATTCAAGGTCAGGTTGGATGTACTCCAGAGTAACCTCATCTAATGGAAGGTGTCCCTGCCCATGGCAGGGGCTTGGACTACATGACCCTTAAAGGTCCATTCCAGCCCAAACCGTTGTATGATTCTATGATCCCACCAGGCCCCAAAGACTTGTGTGTGTGTCAGTGGTGTAGCAGGTCACTGACCATTTCCCCTTGGATTAGGGGGCCTTCCTTTGGTTCCCCATCCCTGACTTCTGATTCACGGCCTGGGTACCCCAAGAACAACTTGGTCTTACTATTAAATACCAAGGCAAAGGAGGCATTAAGTTCCTCAGCCTTTTCACTGAGTTACTCCCCACAGCCAATAAAGGATGAAGATTCTCCTTCACCCTCCTTTTGTTGCTGATGTATTTATAGAAACATTTTTTATTGTCCTTTATGGCAGTAGCCAGATTAACTTCTAGTTGGGCTTTGGCCTTTCTAAGTTTCTCCCTGCATATCCTCACAATATCCTTGTAGATAACCTGAGCTGCCTCCTCTTCTTACAAAGGTCATAAACTCTCCCTTTGTCCTTTAATTCCACCCAAAACTCTCTGTTAAACTAGGCTGGTCTTCTTTCTTGCCAGCTTGTCTTTTGGTACATAGGGGTGTCCTGCTCCTGGACCCTTAAGATTTCCTTCTCAAAGCACATCCAGCCTTCCTACACTCCTTTGCCCTCAGGACTGCCTTCCAAGGGACTGTCTCAACCAGTCTCCTAAAGAGACTAAAGACTGCCCTCCAGAAGTCCAAGTTAAGTTCTGAGACACCCTTACTTGTCCAAGAACCAAAAACTCTTATCATTTTGCAATCACTATGCCCAAAACGACCTCTGACCATCACATCACCCACAAGTCCTTCCCTGTTCCCAAAAAACAGATCCAGTGGGTGCTTTCCCTTGCTGGTTCCCTCAGCTGTGCTATGGAATTCTCTTCCACACATTCCAGGAACCTCCTGCCCTGTTTCCTCTCTTCTGTGTTGTATTTCCAGCAAACACCTGGTCAGTTGAAGTCCCCCACAAGAACAAAGGCCAGTGATCACGAGGCTTCTCCCAGCTACTTATAGAATAATTCATCCATCTCTTCATCCTGGTTGGGTGCTCTATAACAAAATCCCAAGATATCTGCCTTGTTGGCCTTTCCCTTGATTCTGATACATAAACACTCAGCCCTTCTGTCACCATCAAGCTCCAGACGACGAAAACACTCCCTAACACACAGGGTTACCCCACCAGCTCTCCTTCTTTCCCTGTCCCCTCTGAAGGTTCACCACTCCAGTTGCACTTGTCATCCCACTGTTTCTGTGATGACAAATATGTCACAGATTTCCAGCTCCTCCTGTTTGCTGCCCGTGCTGTGGGCATTGGTGTAGTTGGGCTATTGATCCCACTGCTTTTGGGGGAAGAAGCCCTAATTCCTACATGACCACTCTCAGGCTTTTCCACAGTTTCTAACACATTAGCATCCTCAGTGTGCTTGGATCTCCACATGGATATCCATCTCCTACCTGCACTTGACAGAACAAAGGACGTCTCTAGCCCACCATCCCTCCAACACTGGCATTCCACCTCCAGGCTTATCACCAGCAAGCCTGATTTTATCCCTTTTCCCCTTCAAATCTAATTTAAATCTCTTTGCATGAGTCCTGATAACTCCCGTGCAAAGATCCTTGTTCCCTTCGAGACTGGTGTACCCCACGTGTCACCAGAAGACCTGGTGTGGTGTAAACGACCCATGATCAAAAACCCAAAAATTCTGCCGGCAACACCAGACTAGGAGCAAGGAATTGATATCTTGGCTTTTCCTGGTTTTCCCCTCATCATTCCCTGCATCTGGGAGGACAGAGGAGAACACAACTTGTGTTCCTGATCCCTTAACCAGTCAACCTCACATCGAAACACAAAAGAAATGAAAGAAGAGAGAAATCACTGCCCTACGAAATTGAAACAGGAGGAAAATAACTTCCAATAATAAAATAAATTAAAAAAAAAAAAAAAAGGAAAACCAAATACCCAAGAAATGAAAACAAAAGCTAAGAGGTGAATAATTCATTTAGGCAATATGCAGTGCCCATACTCTACCTGAATTGTTTACATTGAAGGTTCATGGTTTAATCAGAACAGCCATAAAAAGAAAAGCCAGAGCCATAAGTACAACATTTATCTTGAGTAAACGAAATAGGTTTCTCAGTGAGGCATTTTCATTTAAAATAGAAAAAAAAAATAGGCTGCAGTTTGTCAAGAGACCAGCAAGGGGAGTCGGTGCCTGCGGCTTTGAGTCAACCACGCAGATGCAGTTTTGGGTGGAGAAAACTCAAATAAACAATTCTGAGGTAGTGGCATCGAAAAAACATTGAAGACTGGCAGAAGATACCAGAGGATGATGGACAGAGAGCAGCAAACCCACTAACCTGGAAAAGAGAGACGGCTTGAGACATACTAGAGTAGAAAAGAAAAATCATGTTTTGCTTGGAAATTGAATTTTCCTCTCCCTGCAATATTTAATGGAAAGCACGTGCTGGAGAGAACTTGGAGGGAAAAAGGTAAAGAACACATGGAATCAAGTCAGGATGGAGCTTGAGATGAGAAAATAAGGGTTAAATGTCAATGTATTTCTGAGTACAATATTCTGATAGCAACATGTTTGTCAGAAAAGACTTGGGCCAATTCCTCTGGTGGCCTTGAGGAGACACCTCGGAGGGCACCAGATGTCTGGGAAAAGACTTCAGAAGGCAAGGCCTTATCACTGAGCCCCAGCACTAGTAACAAATAGGGGAAAAAAAGCCACAAATAAAGATGTATTTTCAAAATAATAGCTCAAATCCGCTTGCAAGGAGTGGGATTTAATAACATTATACAGCATTTAAAGAAAAATGCCAGCAGTAGGAACTCATTAAGCCCTGTATGGGGAACAGCAGCAAAAACACTGCTGCATCCACAGCCATGCTGGGCTTGTCAACAGAAACGGGGCCACCACGAGCTCTGGGGCCACAGGGAGGTGCAGTCAAGGCTTATGTTCCTCTTTCCTGTTAATCTCATTAACCTCATATTTACTCTGTTGTTGGTAATTACTCAGAACATTAATAGGCATCATTTATGCATATTATTTACTGAATATTACAAATCTCTTTAGCTGTGTCTATGAAACAGAGCTGGAACACGCCAGTGCTCCACAGGCTGTGGAAATCGAGGTAGAAAAATTAAAAAAAAATTAAAAAAAACTTCTTAGGGACTTGTTTCCAAGATTTCTTCAATAAATAAAGATAACTAATTGATTCAGATAAATATATAAAACCCTTTGTGTTTTCAAATTCTAGAATAACATTCTAAAAGGAGGAACAGATACCAAGCCAAAAAATACCCAAGGAAAGACTTATTTCCTCCTATTAAGCTGGAGGACATGAAACAACTATTCTTGGCACGATACAAATGACCCTTAACGATATTCCAGGTGAGAAAAACAGATGCAGCTTAGGAAAACTATTTCTGCTGTTAAAGAACTCCATAGGTTTTCCAGACACAGCCTGTTACACCTTGAAAAATGGGACTTTCACTGACCATCTGTTCCCAGCAGAGAACACCCGGGAACGCTCTGGCCAGAAAGCCCAACTCAAAGTCAACACACCGTGAGAGTGGGACAACTCAGAGCTTAATGACCAGCCAAGGTCAGGACCCGGGGGAAGAATTTGGGTGGAGATGACCCCATTTTAACCTGTCAAAACAAGGAAACACCATCCAGAGGCGAACACCTGCCAGTGCCGAGCCCACAACGCTCCTACACACCCACCCCAGAGGTTGGGTCTACAACACTCAACATCCCCTCCAATGAGATGAAGAGATACGGAGACAAACAACCAAAATCAAATTTTAAAAAGCCCTGAAACGAGAAGGGTTATCAAGGAAAGAAAACAGCAAATATCTCTCACCCGTAATTTTACTCCCTTGTGTTGTGGAGCCGCTCGTTCAGCACTGGGCAGCAAAAACCCAACAGAGCAAAGGCCCAGCTCAGCAGTGTTGTCTCTGTTCAGGTAAAAAGAGTAAAAAAAAAAAGAAAATCAGAAGTGAAAAGCACACACAGGCCTTTGTCTGCTCTGTTTCCTCCAGTCTGAAGCTCAGGGATTCCCAAGACTGAGGTTTAGTCTTCAGATTCAACTGCCTTTGGGAGTTTTCACACCTCGTGAATTTGTTAAAGAAACATATACATATATTAGGTAAGCTTTGCTTTTGGCCTACACAATGTCTGTTGACAATGTAACACACGCAGAGAAAAAGAAAACAAAAACACCCCACCTCTTCCTTTTAATTTCAGGGTGCAAACATTAGGGGATGCCCAGTGAAACACAGCAAGTAATTTTACTATTCTGCAATTCATGATTTCACATCATTGTCATTTCCCCCTGCTTTGTGTTCTCATATTTTATATTCAGTATTAGGCAGTTAAAAGGATCTGTCAGCATTTTTTCCTACATTTCCTACAAAAAGAAAGGCTGTGCATCTAAAGGGATTGCTAAGATGGAATCACACAACTGGGACAACCAAGTGGACCCAACACTGGACTTTTCAACATTCCCAGGGATGGTGATTCCACCACTTCCCTGGGCAACCTGTTCCAATGTTTGACTACCCTTTCCATGAATAAATTTTTCTCATATCCAACCTAAACCTCCCCTGGTGCAACTTGAGGCTGTTTCCTCTCCTCAGGAACAGCATCCATAAGGATCCAATACCTCAGATAACTCTGGAGACTCTAATGATATAATAAACCCATTTCCCACACACACTTTCATCACCCTTTTTTTTTTTTTATTGGTCCAAATTTGGAACCTAATGTTTCAGAAGGAATTTAAGATGCTTTTAATGTAGTTTATTATGCTTTAATAAAAAAATAAAATAGAAAAGAAGAAAAAGAATGGCTTAGGCAACTCAGGTAAAGGCACTTTTACACTGTGTAAAGTTAGGAAATAAAAGTATTATTACAGACAATTATTCCTCAAAGAAAATGTTTTAATCAAACTGATGATGTTTTTAGCTTGTTATAAGCAGGAGGAGCATCATCACACAAGACTCAGCCCCCCAGACTAATGATCAAATCTTTCTAATCCCTCCTTGTGATGGGATGGTGGAGAAACTTAAATTACATGGGATGACACTGGGGCTGGAGAGAGCAGCAAAACAAGGAGCTCCTGCCCTGAGATTTCACACCCTGAGAAAAACCACCCAATTACCCTTTCCTCCCCTTTGATGAACACAACCTATTTCAACACCCTCAAAAGCCAAGGGCAGAAGCTCCAACACATGGGGAAAAATAATCATTAAGAGCCTTTAAGTTAAAGTACAGCACCCGGCGCCGGCTTTCAAAGACGGGGTAAATAAGTAAGACCTTTAAATTTTAAGATGTTGCTCAGCAACACCTTCTCCTACTACATCACACACATCCCTTCTTCCTCATTATTTCTCTGGCCAAAGGTCAAAATTCCCCTTCCCAAGAGATAAACTTTGCTCTAGAGAGAGTGATGAAACTCCCACATCCAGCTAACTCAGGAGCAATCCACATCTCCATCCTGGAGACCTTCCAAACATCCAGACACGGTGTGATTTTTCAAGGAGGCAGCTTTCCCTCTCTGTAATCACTGTACATATAAAGAGTGTGCACCATCACCACAGAGAGGGAGGACTCCTTGTACAAATCCTATTCCTCCTCTAACACACACCTGAAAATGTTCAAGGCCAGGTCGGACGGGGCTTGGAACAGCCTGAGAGAGTGGAAGGTGTCCCTGGTGGAACAAGAAGAACTTTAAGGTTCCTTCCAACCCAAACCATTTCAGGATTCCATGATCTAAAGATATGAAGGACCAATCTACTGGGTGACATCTACACATTGGCAGCTCAACAAAGTCTATGTATTGACATCCAACAGTCTTGGGAGGGTTTTTTTCTGGGTTTTGTGGATGCATTTTGGTTTTCTTTTGGAAATCAATTAGAGAAATGTAAAAGCAGGAGATATATCAACCTGCTCCAGTGTAAGAGTGCTCAGTCCCCTCGTCTGATGAGTGTCACATCTCAGCATGTTCTGAGGTCCCAGAACAGCACAAGCAGCAGAGGATCATAGAATCACATAATCCTAGAGTGGCCTGGGTTAGAAGGGAACTTAAAGTTCATCTTGTTCCATGGACAGGGACACCTTCCACTAGACCAGGTTGCTCAGCGCTCCAGCCCTCCAGCCCTGCCATCACCTACGCGGGAAAGTCACTCCTTGACCCCCTGTATTGCTTCCCATGTTCCACCAAGTTCCCAGAATTCATCCAACGAGCAAAATTCAGCAAGTTATGTAGAGCAATGCTGGGAGCTGCAGTTAACTCTTTTAATCAGATGGATTATTCCTTCCATTTGTAAAAAAATCCCAACCAAAAGTAATACTCAGGTGATCCATTGCAATTTAAGCTGGGAGGGGGGGGAGAGAGGAAATTTGATTTGTCTCAAGTGATCTCACCTGGAGCAATCCTGCTCCAAATGAGAACAGCATTATTTTTCCAGCACACAGAGTCCAGCACTGAAATCTCAGGTTGTTCATGGCTCCTAAGGGAAGAGTTTCTATCACCCTCATGTAGCCTTGGGTCAAGTGTTTTTAAACTGCCTGTACAAGCAAAAAAATCAGTAATCATTTACATTTTTCAGAACAAGCTAAGCCATGAAACAGCCCATCCTGCCACGTGAGGATTCAGGTCCTTAAGAAGAGAAACCTGGTTGCCCAGCATTCCAGAAATATCCATATTATGCCCATCTTCCAGAGTACACCTGGGAGGATGAAAACCAATACTGAAATGATCAACATGTGCTACGTCGTGCCCATGACTTCTCACTGCCCCATCTTCTCCTTATGCTCCCACCACGTCCATCCCACAGATCTGTTTCCCTCTCCAACCCTTTCTCTGGTGGTTTCTCCACAGCAGGATCTCTCCTCCGTGTCCCTCTCAGCATTCTCCACCCAGGAATGCAAGAGGGACACGATCCTTGGCTGGCACCCGCAGGAACAACTCCTTTCCAGGGAGGAATTCATGACAGCTCTGCCCACTTGCAGGTTTTGGGGTTTTAGGGTTTTTTTTAAGCCCTGGTGGATATAACTCACATGATGTCAGTACAGGAATATCACACTAAAAAGCTGGAAAGTAAGGGGCGGGTTTTCCTCGTTTCTATGGTTATGAGCAATTTTAATGACCAACCTAAATAAAAAGGCTGGAAGAGAGAGAAAGTAGGAAGGAGTGAGGTGGGCGTTTAATTTTGATTGACAAGACAGAGCAGAACTAGTTAAGATCTGTCAAATGCCTGCTGAGGATCACAAATCCTCAGCACACTGTACAGCAGACAGAATTAGTCTAAATGCACAGCTTTACAAAAATACTTCTTACCTGGTGAGATCAGAGTTCATCATTTCAGTCTCCCCACACAAAGCAGCTGATGTCATAACCAGCAAAGGAGACGAGGTAGGGCCAGAAAAAATATGTGGGTTTTTTATTATTTTTTCTTATTTGTGAGATTTTTAAATGTTAACAGGCCACAATATCTTAACTTTTGTCCCTGGACACCATATACATACATACAAACATATATATATATATATATATAAAAATAGATAATTACATCATTCTCAAGATTGTTAACTACCAAAACAACAATTTTAAAGGTATTATCAAAGGCATCACTTTGGAATCACATCTGCATCACATTAAATGCTGTATAAACACAGAGTAAGGAGATAATTCCTGAGTTAAAGAATTTAAAATAGGAGATTGAGTGCAGAAAATGTTGAATGTAGATTAGATGGGAAATATTTGGAAAGACAGAAACAGTGGCATGACAGTCAGCTGTGAGGTTCCCTGAAGACATAACATCAAAGAATAAGGAAAATTAGGAGTATCCCTACAAATGTTCATGGGTGAGAGCCTCAAGAGGGAAGAATGGAGGGATGGAGACTTGGAGCATTTCAAGGTCAGGAGCTGAGTTTTGTGATGCCAGAGGGAAGAATCAAGATCCCAACGAAGCACAAGGAAGCACGAGAAGGGCTCTGGAAGAACCAGCAGCTTGGATTTAATGCCAGAGAGGTGCAGGAAGCAACAAAGGACAGACAAAGAGGATCCAAGATACGCCTGAACCAAACTAGGAAGATGTTTTTCTTTTACTCCCTCAGCTCTGGTGAGATCCAAGAGGGACACAGTGATATTCACAGGGCTACACACTCATGAGCTCTGTTATTTTATCAACTGCTGTTTGACTTTTAAGGAGGGCATAACCAGGCAAGGGAGGATGGGGATACAAAGGAGGGAAGTCAACAGCTCCTGAAATTCCTGCCAACAGGATCTGCACTTAAAGCATGCAGTTTTGGCAGAGAACATCCTCAAAATTTGATATTTAAAAGTCTTTTGGTGTTGGAATGTACAATTAAAGGATACAAGTGAATTAAGATCTGATCAACACAAACTCGTATCGAAGTAAGAATGTGTTCCCACAAAGTCTCAGCCACCTGCTTCTTCCATGCTCCATTGAAAGAATGAAAAATTAGCTGCTGACTACTTTTATTTCCACTCAAAATCATCCCTCTCCAGCCTCCAAAAGGTACAAATTTGTAACAACATCCAAGAGCTAAAAAAAACCCAAACAAACTCCAAAGCTCACAAGAAGTTGTACCATGACAATAAAACAACAACAACAAAAAAGGAATTTATATTTTACTGATTTCTTATTTCAAGGTCTCCAACAGCCAACTTTCCATCACCAGCTTGAAAAGTCAAAGCAGCACAGAATCATCTGGCACTATCTCATTTTTTCTCAGATAATGCCTTGAAACCTCCCAAACCATCTCTGCAGCCACCAGAGCCACCTCTTCCTTGGAAAGCACCCAGGAACCACTTGCAAATGAAATCCAACTGAATTTATTGCTCCTGCAACCCTGGAAATTTAAGCTACAGAGGTGACGTGACATTTTGTTTCGCCAATGCTAATCTAATACCTTTTTAAAGGTGCACACGTTTCACCCTGTTGGCTCCCAACACTGAATTCCCAGCTCTGCTGAGCTCCAGGATAAATGAGCCGAGCGCGCCCCGCGGGCGAGATCCCTCACTGTAATCTTTATTCCAAACACAGCCTTGGAAGCACTGCCAAAAATCACCCTGAGGTTTGCTCTTAGGATGGCAATTTGCATCTCAACATTTTGCTGCAGAGCTTTCCCCACTGTCCCCACTATTATTTTAATGCTGGGCTGTGGGCGGCCCCCTGAGCGGAGCACACTAAAAATATTCCTGCCTTTCCTCACCGGCTCCACGCATGACCACCAGCAAAATCGGGAGTGGTGGCATCCACCCGCCTCTCCAGGACCTCCAAGGAGCTAAAAAAACATGGCAAGAAGCAGAAAATGTATGGATGGAGGACGGAGGAATGCAGCAGGTGAAGGAAGAAGGTCGCAGGAAGAGCCAGTTTTACCGCCAAGGAAAGTGGGAGGTTTATCCGAGCACGAGATGTGGGAAAACACATTGAGAGGCAATAAAGATGAGGGAGGCATCGCCTGGGATGTGAATTAAGGAGGCTGCTGAACATCATGCTGAATTTCAGGTGGTCTCTTCACAGAGAGAGGGATCAGACCTTGGAATGGGCTGCCCAGGGAGGTGGAGGAGTCACCGTCCCTGGAGGTGTTGAAGCAGAGCCTGGGAGTGGCACTCAGTGCCATGGGCTGGGTGCCAAGGTGGGGTTGGGTCAAAGGTTGGACTCGATGGTCTCAGAGGTCTTTTCCAACCCAGCTGATTCTGTGAAAGAAACCTCGTGCTCAGAGTGGGAGTGACACTGGGTGAACACCAGCACAGCCTGATTCACGCCCCAGAAGGGAGATCCCGATCCCACCGGCAGCACCACTTTGATGACACAGCGCAGGAAAAAACATGGATTGCAGGTTTTTCTACGCCCTCCTCCCCCCTCGCCCAGTAAACCCCAGTCTCAGAGGTTGTAATTATTTTTGGCAAGGTGTGAACAGGTCTGGGAAATGAAGCTGAGAAGTGGAGCTATTTATGAGATGCCGCGTGGGGAGACGGCATCGGAGCAACCAAATCAGCAAGTGCAAGGTCACCCTTGTCTGCTTAGAAACTGCAAAGTGATCCAGGCAGCCAAAATAACCAGCCTCAGTCTGCCCAGGGTGGTAAGTTAGTGGAAATGGAGTGTGGTGAACCACCAGAGGACATTACTTCAACTACAAGGGCTTTATCATGGAGCTGGTGAGCTTTGAGATAAGGTCCATTGAGATAACACCCACTCATGACAACTATTTGCCTCTCTGGGGTGTGGGACAGGAGCAAGAAGGACATCAGGTCCATAAGTCTCCCTTCACCAAAGCTGTTGTAGAGGGAGGTAGCCAAGGGGCTCCCATCCCTGGAAGTGTTCAAAACCAGGTTGGATGGGGCTTGGAGCAATCTGGGATAGTGGAAGGTGTCCCTGCCCATGGCAGAGGGTTGGAATGAGATGGTCTGAAAAGTCCCTTGCAACCAAAACCATTCTATGATCTGCAAGTAAAAGATCAGTGGAGACCACTCATCACCTTACCCCAAAAACCACCCCTTGCTTCCAAGGAATTAGATTTTTGCCCTGACCTGGGAAGAACCACAGATTTTGAAAAAGAATGTCCTTTCTGCTGGCGGAGAAAAGCAGCAAAAGCCAAACCCTCCCAGCAGGAGGGTCTTGCAGCCTGATGGGGCTGAAGAAGTCATGAAGGAACCACCAAGGAAAACACAAAAGCTCTTTTTGATCTTACCAGGAGCCAAAGGAAAGAGGGATGGTCAAAGCCAGGAGGTGAGGGGAGTGCCCTGGAGACAGGAGGACCTCTGGGCTGCTTTCTGCACACTCTCTTTATATTCTGTGTCCAAATGCCTCACAAACAGGAGGAGGACACACAGCTCTGCTTCCAAGTATGAAATTATATGAAATTCTAATTAATTTTTAAAAGGATGACAAGCACAGTGCAGTAGGAAAGAAACTGGCCAAGGAGACAAGGGCAAGCCTGCAGACCTCAGAACCTGTGGGACATCTCTATATATGAAACAAAGGTACATCTGAATAATGTGCAAGGAAAGCAGGAAAAAAAAAAAGAAAATAAAAAGCAGACCTTGGTTTCCATGCACAGGGGAAGAGGATCCTGGCAATTAAACTGCAAGTACTTCCACGAGGGGAAATAAAAACCAACACTGAATTGAAGTCTCTTCCGTTGCCCTGTGTTTGGGTCAAAGGAGAAGAAACCAGAGAAGTTGTGGATGCCCCATCCCTGGAAATGTTCAAGGCCAGGCTGGATGGTGCCCTGAGCAACTTGGTCTAGTGGGAGGCGTCCCTGCCCATGGCACGGGTTGGAACAAGATGATCTTAAAGATCTCTTCCAAACCAAACCATTCTAGGATTCTATGAAACACATCTGCTTGAGGCTCTAAAGATGTTCATCAGGAAAATATCTGCAGCAACACTGTCAATTTGCTTTTTCAAATTCAAAGGCATCCTGGTTTACTCCAATACCACAGTCCTGTTCACACCATGTGCCTCTCCAAGGG